CTTCTACAGGAGGCTAATCCAGACCACACCAGGTCTAAACCCACGTCCCTCCTTGCTCCAGGGAGTAACTCCCTCCCCCCCTCTCTCTGCCCCAGGCACGGTGCTGGTGATGGTTTACTTCATCCTGCTGGCCGTGTATTTCTTCGCGCCGTCGCCCAGCGGCTGCTGAGGTTTGGATTCTCTGTCCCCAACCCCTCGTTGGGATCTGCACCCATCAGGACTTTTGCAGTGTCTCAGGGACCAGGCCGGGCTGGCTCCGGTCTGGAAGCGCCGTTCCCGAAGCTCCTGCTGGGCTCCCCGTGGGCCTCAGGGATGGAAGGGTGGTGGCAATGGATGGCTCCAAAATGAGGAGCCTCAAGGCAGAGCACGTCACACGGGCAGCTCCAGCCCACACTGCAGTGGCTGCAAGGAGAACTGTCCTTAGAGGAGGGTCTGGAGGGGATTTCTGTGTGTCCCCTCCCTGGGGATGTGCTGCACTGGGAGGAGGTGCCTGACAAGTCCCTCATCCTCCCAGGCCTGGCAGGGCCTGGGAATCGCACACGGGACGTTTGATGGCACCAGAAAAGCACCCAAAGGGATTTTCAGCTGTTTTGTCATTAAAGCACTTCTGTACAAATCAGAAACAAAGTTTGTTTCTCCTTAAATGAGCCTCAGGCGCCAGCCTGGGCCCCTGTGTGGCCACCATTCCCTGTCCTCTGTCACCTCAGCCCCAGCAGGGTGGCTGTGGGCTCCAGCTTTCTCCATGACCCTCCCAAACCTCCAGCTCATCTCCAGCCTGCTCTTCTCTGACTGTCTCTGGTCCTCCTGGCTTTGAGGGCTGTCCCAGACTCCTGAGAAGGTTCAGGGATGCTCCTGGTGTTGTCCATCAGGCTGGGGACATCTCCCTCCACGCAGGGAAATGCTGGTGGATGAGGTGAGAGGACAAAGTTGGGGCTTGGATATATTTATTATCTTTAAAACAAAAACAATCCCAAAGCAAAGCACTGACGGATCCATGGACACAGGCAGGAGGCTCTGGTGCCTCTTCCCTCTCCTGTTCCTTCAGCATAAGAACCAGGGAGTGCTGTCACAGCAGTGCTGGGCTCTGACAGGAGGGACAGACAGCCCTGAGTGAGGCAGGAGCAGCCTGGGACTGCCCCCTCTGCAGGGAAGGCAGCAGCTCGTTAGTGATTAATGAAGCTGCTTTATTAAGCTTTTGTTTTCCTAGGGAGGCATCAGCAGGGCCAGTCCTGCTGTCCTCAGCCTGGGACATCTGGGAGCACTGCCAGGTGAGTGGCAGGACAGGGAAAAGGGATGGGAGGGCAGGAGCTGTAGAACCTGCTCAGGAATTCTGTTCTGAGCTTTCCCTGTCCCTCACATCCTGTGCCCACCCCAGGCAGCACTGTGGCTGCTCCTACCCCTCTCCATCAGTTGCTGCAGGTGCTGGATGCTCTCCCTCTCCTCAGGGAATTTTAATTAAAGCTTTTCCCCACAGGCAGAGCCCAGCAGCAATTAAAGCCCCCTGAGCAGGAGCTGTGAGCTCAGTGCTTAAGCCAAGTCGTTTTTTCAGGAGGAGCAGCCTCCAAAGGTCTGCTGTCCCTCCTGCAGCAGCCAGGGGAGGTTATGGGATGGGAAAGACCCCTGGAATCCATCAGGGGGTGGTGCCTGTAGAGCTTTCAGCAAAAGGGAACTCCTTGGAGCTTTGTGGTTTTCTTGGTGATGCTTTCCCAGCTGCTGGGGGTGCAGGGATCCACAGGGACCAAATCCAGCTCCTGGTCCTGCCCTGGACACCCCAACAATCCCCCCTGGCCCTGAGAGCATTGTCCAATCACTCCTGGGCTGTGCCCATTCCTGGGGAGCCTGGGCACAGCAGGACATTCCCCATCCTTGCTGCTGTCACCGATGTCCCCAGGACAGTGTCACCCTCCTGGCTCCAGGGCACTGCTGTCCCTGATGTCCCCAGGACAGTGTCACCCTCCTGGCTCCAGGGCACTGCTGTCCCTGAGGTCCCCAGGACAGTGTCACCCTCCTGGCTCCAGGGCACTGCTGTCCCCAGGACAGTGTCACCCTCCTGGCTCCAGAGCACTGCTGTCCCTCACCCAGGACAGTGTCACCCTCCTGGCTCCAGGGCACTGCTGTCACCGATGTCCCCAGGACAGTGTCACCCTCCTGGCTCCAGGGCACTGCTGTCCCTCACCCAGGACAGTGTCACCCTCCTGGCTCCAGGGCACTGCTGTCACCGATGTCCCCAGGACAGTGTCACCCTCCTGGCTCCAGGGCACTGCTGTCCCTGATGTTCCCAGGACAGTGTCACCCTCCTGGCTCCAGGGCACTGCTGTCCCTGATGTCCCCAGGACAGTGTCACCCTCCTGGCTCCAGGGCACTGCTGTCCCCAGGACAGTGTCACCCTCCTGGCTCCAGGGCACTGCTGTCACCGATGTCCCCAGGACAGTGTCACCCTCCTGGCTCCAGGGCACTGCTGTCCCTCACCCAGGACAGTGCCATCCCTCCTGGCTCCAGGGCACTGCTGTCCCTCACCCAGGACAGTGTCACCCTCCTGGCTCCAGGGCACTGCTGTCACCGATGTCCCCAGGACAGTGTCACCCTCCTGGCTCCAGGGCACTGCTGTCCCTCACCCAGGACAGTGCCATCCCTCCTGGCTCCAGGGCACTGCTGTCCCTCACCCAGGACAGTGTCACCCTCCTGGCTCCAGGGCACTGCTGTCCCTCACCCAGGACAGTGTCACCCCTCCTGGCTCCAGGGCACTGCTGTCCCTGATGTCCCCAGGACAGTGTCACCCTCCTGGCTCCAGGGCACTGCTGTCCCTCACCCAGGACCCCCAGGTCCCTTCCCACAGCTGCTCCCCAGCCTGTCCTGGATGCTGAAGTGTGAAGATTCCATCTCTGGCTTTCCAGGACCATCCAGGTGGGTTGTGCTGAGATCAGGGTGGCCAAGCAGGACTTCCCTCTCCTGAGGCTGTGCTGGTTGTCACCCATGGCTGTGCTGGCTGTCACCCATGGCTGTGCTGGCTGTCACCCATGGCTGTGCTGTCCACCTGAGGTGTTTCAGTATTTCCCAGAACAATCTTTTCCAGGGTTTTACCAGGCACTGAAGTGGGACTGACAGCCCTGTGGTTTCCATGGTCATCCCTTGAAGACTGGGAGCAGCTTCCAGCCAGCTGAGACCCCTCCAGAGTCCCAAGGCTGCTCCAAAATCATCGACAGAGGCTTTGTGACAACCTCAGAATGCTCCAGAGATTTCCAGAGTAAGGACAACCTAAGGACCTGAGGGATGTGCTTGCTCAGAGATCCTGGATGGCTCCAGGATCACCCTGGGGATGAGGGGAGATGCTCTTTAAAGCAGCTGAGAGAAAAACCAGCACAGGCATGGCCAGGCTGCTCCAGGACCAAGGTCCACAAGGCAAAGATGGAAATGTGGATATTCAGCCTCAGCTTGGCATGGAAGAAGGAGCTGCAGGAATGGTCCTGCAGGTCACTGCAAGCCAGGCCAGGAGAGCAGGGAGCCCTTCCCAGCCCACAGCTGCCAGCAGGGTCTGCACTCAGCAGCCAGGGAGGCAGAGGAGGGGTTGAAATGCACAATTCCTGTGAAGGTGCAATGCAGGGCATGGAGACAGCAGAGCTCCAAGCAGCTCCCACCAGTTCCTGTGGTCCAAGCACCTGAGAAAGCATCAGCTGTGAGGCCCATACATTTTCTGAGCCTTGAGGGGGAAAAAAAAGCAGCAACTGAAGCTGGAGAAAGAGGAAAATCTATTCTCAAGAGCAGGGGAAGCTTAATTTTGGGACAAGGGGTGAGTTCCTTATGTGGGGGCAGTGACTCCAGCAGGCAGCACCTTTGCATTAACAACATGAAGACAATGCTATGGTTTATTTAAACATAAATGCAATTTCTTAAAAAGAAACTAAAACCTCAGAGTGTAACCTCTGCCTCTGATGAAGAAGAAAGCATTGGGAAAAGCTGATTTTAAAAACAAAAGGCACTTAAAAATGGGCTCCAACTGAAAAGGATTTTGCACAAACCTCATGCCTGGAGCTGTTCAGAGTTCAGTGGCCACTTAAACAAATGCAGTGTAGAGAGCACAAGAGGACCAGAGCCACCCCTTCCTGTGCACAGACAATGCCTGTCCCCACAAGGAGGGACAGTTGTTCCCTCTCCCCTTTTTGGATGCTGTATTTCCTGGGCTGAGTGACCCACAAAGCCACTCCCAAACCAGCGTTAAATCACATCTCCCACCCTCAGGGGAACATGAAACAAGAAGAAAAAAGCCAGTTTTGGGGATGTGTGGGAGGAAGGAAACCAAAAGCTGGGAGATGCTGAGAGCCATGGCTTGGCTGAGCAGGTTCAAAGAGCTCTGAAATCCACAGGGTAAGTTTTTGCTGCAGCTCATTGTGGGTGCAAAGCGAGCCAAAAAGGTTCAAAAAGCCTCAGGAAAACCTTTTCCTCCCCACCCCCAGCAAACTACACAGTAGTCCCTTAAGTGGCAACTTTTTTCCCAGTTTTCCAAGCAAACCTTTGAGTGTGAGAAGGGGAGGACACAGACGCTGCACCGGGGGAGCTGCAGGGCCGGGCTGGCCTGGGCGACGTTCCAGCCGTCTCCAGAGGCTCGGGGTGGGATCGTGGTGGGACATGGTGGGAACATGGTGGGAACATGCCCGTGGACACATGCAGGGCTGGAGGAACGGGCTGCCTTTGGGCAGGGAGCTCAGCTGGCTGCCAGGGATGGGGCAGCCACAGCCAAAGGGCAGCTTGGTGCTCGTTCTGCATCGCGTCCCTCGCTGGGTGCCACGGTGGGAGCACCAAGGGGAAGGTGCCACGCTGAGCACGGACTCACACATTCAGTGACTCATTAAGCTCCCCAATTAATTAACTGCAAGCGTGTGCTGATGACAGGTTGCTGGTTGGCTGCTTAGTCTCAGAAAATACTTTTGGATTAATGGTGTAATAGAGCTCCATAAATAAAAAGGGGACTTTGCTTTTTTCCAATGACTAAAAGTAACCATGTCTGGAAAGGCATTGATGTATTTGCTGAGTAAGGCCTTGAGCAGGTTCCTCCATGTTCTTAGCAAGACCATCCATGGAATCCATAAATAGGGGGTGGGAGGGGGAGTTCTTCAACGTGGTGAGTCTTGGACAGGAGTGGCAGATTGCTCATTTTAGTCGCTCCACGAGTCCCTGCGTCAGTCCGAGGTGCAAAAGCTGGGATCTGGACAGAGTTGCCAGGTGAGGGAAACATTCCAGGAGCTTCTCCCAGCACAGTTCCAGCAGGCTGGGCACCACCAGCCACATTTTGAACAGGGAGCCAGTCCGTTTGTTTTCGTGGATGTTGACCACCCCTCCGTGCACGTACATGCAGCCAGCCTGGGAGGGGAAGGGGGACAGGAGTTACAGAGGCAGGAAAAGCAGGAATGGGATTAATTCCCACCTCCCACCCTCCAGCAGGGCTGGCACTGCCTCAGCCACTCTGGGATCCTCTGAGTCAAGGAGGAATCACTGCTGGAGGGGCCATGTCTCATCCTAATCCACTCACCCACCACCTCTGAGCACTGTGCTCTGAGGTTTGGGTGATTTCCATCCCAAGAAATCCATTTTAGGAGTGTGGCAAAGTGTTAATAAAGTAGCACAGAGCCCTACTCGTGTTCCAGCTGAAAAGAATGTATTTTTAAACTCCACCCACCTCACACAGACATCCTGCATTCCCTTGGCTCAGCACAAGCCTGCTCCAGGGATGACAGGAACACAGAGATGGGAATAACTCAGCTGCTGAGTGGGGTTTTTTTCCACAGGCTGGCAAAGAAAGGACATTCCAGCTGTCCAGGGAACACTGAGCTGCCTGGGAAACACCTTTATCAGCCTTCCCAGGAAAAGCTGCATTTGTAACATTCCCCAAATGCAGTGACACCAAGGAATGTGATCTCTGCCCTGAGGAGCTGAGGGAGGTGAGGGCACAGCCAAAGGCACTTCTTGCTGCCTGATAATTACCAATCCCAGGTCTCCAGCCTTCTACCTAAGGCCAAAAGCTCTGGCAATACCAACATCCCTTAGTGGCTTCCCAAGGGCTGGAAACAGCCTCATCCAATCCTTCACCTCAGGCTGCTCTCACTAGGATAAAATCACTTTACTCAGGGAGTATTTGTGCTTTTTTTTCCCTTTTACAAGCAGGAGTTGCTGTTCCCACACAGACTTTAAAAGCTCAAATTCTGCATCGTTTCTTTCAGAAAGCAAAATCCACAGTGTGGTTCCACTCCTCAAAGAGCAGCAGGAAGAGGAGCCTCCCAAAAGCTGCTGCATGCAGTGGAGGTGACTTTCTTGGGAACAGCAGCTCTATCTGCAGCCCACAGCACGGTAAGAGTGCTTGGAGGAACAAGAGGAGTCACTTACTGGGGTGACAGCAGCACAGTGGAAGTACACAGGCTCTGGCATGGCAGCTGGCAGCTTCACCCACTGGAAAGTCTGGAGGTTCAGCTTCCAAACATCTCCCAGGATCACCTCTCCGTTGTAGCCCCCACACACGAACACATCTGCAAGAGAGGGGATGTGGGGAGGTGCCAGGCCCAGCCCAGCCCTGCCAGGAGCCAGGGACAGCTTGGGGACAGCTCAGGGATCTCCCTCCCTCACAGGTTTGGGATCAGGAACTGCTGCACCTCAACAAAGGCTCCCAGGAGCTCCCAGATCAGGCCCACCACAAAGCAGAGGCCACCTAAAGACTCCCAGCTGGCTTGGGTGGGAAGGGACCTCAGAGTCCATCCAGATCCAGCCTGATGGGCAGGGACACCTCCCCCTGTCCCAGCCCCAGTGTCCAACCTTGGCCATTGCAGGGATCAGGGGCAGCCCCAGCTGCTCTGGGAATCCCTTCCCAAAATCCCACCCCAGGCTCCCTCTCCAGGGAATTCCCTCCATTCCCAGCTCTCCCAGCCTGCCATTGGATCCATCCCCACCCCGACTCCTCTCCAGGAAGGAATTTTGGGGTCTGGGGGCTTCACTGGGAACCTCAGCACTCCAGGAAGGGTCTCCCTTCCCTTTGCCATCCCCAACTTCCATAAAAATCCCTGGGGATGGATTCTGAGTGTCCCAAATCCCAGAATGGTTTGGGTGGGAAGGGCCCTTCAAGCCCATCCCATTCCAGTCCCACCATCCCAGGCTGCTCCAGCCTGGCCTTGGGCACTGCAGGGATCAGGGGCAGCCCCAGCTGCTCTGGCAATGCCAGCCCAGGCAGGAATTGCTCATTGCCAAGATGCCACCCATGGCTGCCCTCTGGCAGTGGGAGCCATTCCCTGGGTGCTGTCCCTGCAGGCCTTGTCCCCAGTCCCTCTGCAGCTCTGCTGGAGCCCCTGCAGGCCCTGCCATGTGCTGGGAGCTCTCCCTGGAGCCTTCCCTGCTCCAGGGAACATTCCCAGCTCTCCCTGGATCCCTCCCTGCTCCAGGGAACATTCCCAGCTCTCCCTGGATCCCTCCCTGCTCCAGGGGAACATTCCCAGCTCTCCCTGGATCCCTCCCTGCTCCAGGGGACATTCCCAGCTCTCCCTGGATCCCTCCCTGCTCCAGGGGAACATTCCCAGCTCTCCCAGCCTGGCTCCAGCCCTGCAGCAGCTCCATGGGTTCCTCTGGGCTCTCTCCAGGTGCTGCTGCTGTGTCCCCAGGGCTGGGGCTGCTCTGCAGATGGGGTCTCACTGAGAGGGGCAGAATCCCCCATCCCCTGCTGCCCACACTGGGGGTCAGGGAGGATTTCTGCCTCATGTCCCCCTCCCCAGCCTGCCCATGACCCCAAGGCCACCATGGCAGCCTCAGGGCTGAATGCCACTGCAGGCAGGAGAGCATTCCCTCCTCTCACAGCCCAGACACCTGGGCTTGATCAGATTCCAGGGATTTTAAACCCCAGGGAGCAGCCCCAGCTCCCAGCCCTGCCTTGCTCCCAGCTTTGCCCAAGTTCTCAGCTCAGGGACTCCCAAATCCTCCTGGAGGGCTGGAAGCACCTCCCAGCTCCTGCCTCACTTTTACTGGCACAATCAACGCTCCCAGGAAATACAATCCAGCATTTCCCTCCACCCTTCAACAGAGAGCATTCTGCCACTGACCTGAAGGGTTTGGAAAAGAGGGATCAAGATTGTAACTGGTTTTTCACTGCAGAAGAAGGAATGGTGCCAAGTGGGCAGCTTAAAGCCTGTCAGTGAGGAAAAATCCTCTTCCAGAAGAGCCACGTGGTCCCTGCAGCTCTCTCCAACTCCCCCCTGTTTGTTGTACAAGATACACCAATTTTCCAGAGGTAAATCTTACCATTTTTTATCTGCACACAGCTGTGGCATCTTCTGGCTGCTGGGAAGCCTGGGGACAATAAATTTAAAAATTTATATCAGGAATAATTGCTTTAAAGTGCTTGTGCAAGTGGTGATTTTGTCTCAGCATTTAATGATGGAGTTTCATTGTTAAGAGGTTCTGCTTTCCTGCTATCCCAGGTATAAAAGGTGCCATTTTAAGCAGCTGTTTCAGGTTTGAGTCCTAACTTCTCTCTGGGGAAGGAAGAAAATGCTGGAATTTTGTTCCCCAGAGTCTCCAGTCTGGCTTGGTGAAAAGCAGCTGTGGGACTCCAGGGGAAGCCCAGGGCTCAAAGGGAGCAGGGATGGTTGGGATCCCCTGGGAGCAGATCCAGGCACTGCCACCCTTCCCAGGCAGGGAGAGAGGGAAGCCAGACTGCCAAACCCCCTGGATGGGCTCATCCCAGTGCTGCAGCACCAGCAGGGTCTCAAATCCAGATAAAGCCACAGATTGAACAAGAAAACTGCACCTTGAAGCACCTTGGCCACTCTGGCTCCCAGGGAAAGAGGGAAACCCCAAACTCACCGACTTTCTCGTGAGGCTTTGTGGTGATCTCCTCCCAGGTGTTGGTCTCCAGGTTGTAGGCGTGGATCTGGGGGAAGAACAGGAGCCATGAGATCCTCCAGGTGCTGCAGCCACAGGCTCTGACCCTCTATAAATAAATCCCTTTTTTTCTTTAAGTGGAAACCCAAAAATAGCTGATCCCAGCCAGTGACTAAGCAGGTCTAAAATCACCTTTCAAGCTCCATCCCAGCTTTGCTATTTCAGCCCTACAGCTGAAAAAAAGAAAAGAATTTTGCTTTTGAAAAGAGCTGGACCAATTAAAATCCACACCCTTGAGCTCTCAGAAGGATTTAGAAATCCCTTTCTCCTGCTGCACACAGGGAGAAAAATGGGACAATGGAGAGATGAAATGTCACATAAAGTGCTGCAGACTCCACTTTTATGGAAGCAGAGCACTATTTAAAGTGGCCACAGATTCATCACCAGGACACTTGTGGCAAATCCAGGTTTTACAGGAATAGGAGAACAATCTGCTCCCAATTATCTTTTTTTTTTTCGTTTCTTTTTACCAAGCTCTCCAGGCAAAGCCAGATGGAGAGGCTGTGCTGGTAATTCCTCAGTGTGGAAAATCTCCTGTGCAGGGTTCCAAATGCCTCACCTTATCCAGGGAATAAGCTGTCCAGGAAGTTCCACCTCCCAGGATATAAATCCTTTGACCATCATGAGCAATTTCATGTCTGTACCTGAAGGTGCAGAGCAGCACAATCAGCAACAATAGAAAACTTTCTAGAAATCACCATCAAATTCCAGGGATTTCAGCAGAAACTCCCAGGCCTGGCTCTGCTGCATCAGTCCCTCAGGCTGGGAGCACTCAGGAGATGTGGGAGCTTTCCTGAGCCCTCCAAGCAGCACCCCAGAAGTCTGAAAGGCATTTTCTGATTGCAGAGCAATTACTGAATAATTAAGTGCAAGGATTAGTGAGTACCAGGACAGCCAGCAATATTCCAGCCCCTTCTAAGGGAGGTGTCCAAGGCCAGGCTGGGCAGGGCTTGGAGCAACCTGGGATAGTGCAAAGTGTCCCTGTCTGTGGCAGAGGGGTGGAATTAGATTTATTTTAAGATTCCTATGAACCCAAACCATTCTGAGATTCTTCCATTCCCAATTCCCTGCTCTCATTTGGACACCAAACCAGGGATGAGAGCGACAAAAATCGTTCCTGCCAATGCCACAACAAATCCCAGCAAAGGAGGGCTGGAAATGGCAACCAGAGCAAGGTATCCCAAAGCTCCCCATTCCCTGCCTCCCAAAAAAGCCCCCTGAGGCTGCCCAGCTGCTCACCTCTCCTCTGGCATGTCACAGGACATATTGTTTGGCTTCAGCTGGATCCACTCCCGGGTGTTGAGGTCCAGCTTGTGCAGGTCAGTGCTGTAGATGTAGCCAGTTGTTCCTCCAAACACGTAGAGACAGCCATTGATGATGGCCATGGCCTGGCAGGGACACCAGAGAGGGCTTGGGGACACCTGGGGCTGCAGGAGGGGAATTCCTGCTCCTCCAAAGCAGGTGTGCACCAGCAACAAGGGTCAGCCCTGTGCTCAGTGTCAGCTCATCTTCTTATTCATCCACTCTGTGGCAAGTCTTAAAGGGTGTAATTGTAATATAAAGGGACTCCAGGAACTTGCATTTGGAGTTTTGGGTTTTAAGGGCTTTGACTACCAACCATTCCTTAAATCACTTTTTAAATTTTCATTTAGAGCTTTGGGTTTTGAAGGTTTTGACTACCAACCACTCCTTGGATCGCTTTTTCCATCTCCATTTAGAACTTTGGGTTCTGAAGGCTTGGACTATGACCCACTCCTTAAATCACTTTTTTATTTTTAGAGTTTTGGGTTTTGAAGGTTTTGACTGTGACCCACTCCTTAAATCACTTTTTTATCTTCATTTAGAGTTTTGTGTTTTGAACGTTTTTTACTCACCAACCACTTCTTAAATCACTTTTTTATTTTTAGAGTTTTGGGTTTTGAAGGTTTTGACTGTGACCCACTCCTTAAATCACTTTTTCCATCTCCATTTAGAGCTTCGGCTTTTGAAGGTTTTTGACTACCAATCACTCCTTAGATCGCTTTTTAATTTTTATTTAGTTTTGGGTTTTGACTACAAACCCCTCCTTAAATCACATTTCAAATTTTCATTTAGAGTTTTGGCTTTTGAAGGTTTTGACCATGACCAACCCCTTAAATCACTTTTTTATTTTTAGTTAGAGTTTTGGGTTTTGAAAGTTTTTGACTATGACCCACTCCTTAAATCACTTTTTTTATTTTTATTTTGAGTTTTGTGTTTTAAGGGCTTTGACTACCAACCACTCCTTAAATCACTTTTTTCATCTTCATTTAGAGCTTTGGGTTCTGAAGGTTTTGACTATGAACCACTCCTTAAATCACTTCTTCAGTTTCATTTAGAGTTTTGGGTTTTGAAGGTTTTGACTACAAATCACTCCTTAAATCACTTTTTTCATGTTCATTTAGAACTTTGGGTTTTGAAGGTTTTGACTATGACCCACTCCTTAAATTGATTTTTTATTTTTATTTAGGGTTTTGAAGGTTTTGACTACGAACCACTTCTTAAATCACCCTCATTTTCATTTAGAGTTTTGGGTTTTGAAGGTTTTTGACTATGACCCACTCCTTAAATCACTTTATATTTTCATTTAGAACTTTGGGTTTTGCAGGTTTTTGACTATGACCCACTCCTTAAATTGAGTTTTTATTTTTATTTAGGGTTTTGAAGGTTTTTGACTATGACCCACTCCTTAAATCACTTTTTTCATCTTCATTTAGAATTTTGTGTTTTGAAGGTTTTTTACTAACCAACCACTCCTTAAATCACTTTTTTATTTTCATTTAGAGTTTTGGATTTTGAAGGTTTTGACCATGACCAACCTCTTAAATCACTTTTTTATTTTTATTTAGTTTTGGGTTTTGAAGGTTTTGACTAACAACCACTCCTTAAATCACTTTTTTCATCTTAATTTAGAACTTTGGGGTTTGAAGGTGTTATGACCCACTACTTAAATCACATTTTCAGTTTCATTTAGAGTTTTGGGTTTTGAAAGTTTTTGACTACAAATCCCTCCTTAAATAATTTTTTATACTTTCATTTAGATCTTTGGGTTTTGAAGGTTTTGACTACAAATCCCTTCTTAAATCACTTTTTAAATTTTCATGTAAAGTTTAGGGTTTTGAAGGTTTTGACCATGACCCACCCCTTAAATCACTTTTTTATTTACAGTTTTGTGTTTTGAAGGTTTTTGACTGTGAACCCCTCCTTAAATCACTTTCTTATTTTCATTTAGAGTTTTGTGTTTTAAGGGCTTTGACTACCAACCACTCCTTAAATCACTTTTTTCATCTTCATTTAGAGCTTTGGGTATTGAAGGTTTTGACTATGAACCACTCCTTAAATCACTTTTTCAATTTCATTTAGAGTTTTGGGTTTTGAAGGTTTTGACTACAAACCACTCCTTAAATCACTTTTTATACTTTCATTTAGAACTTTGGGTTTTGAAGGTTTTGACTATGACCCACTCCTTAAATCACTTTTAAAATTTTCATTTAGAGCTTTGGGTTTTGAAGGTTTTTGACTACCAACCACACCTTAGATCGCTTTTTTATTTTTATTTAGAGTTTTGGGTTTTAAGGGCTTTGACTATGAACCACTCCTTAAATCACTTTTTATATTTTCATTTAGAACTTTGGGTTTTGACTATGAACCACTCCTTAAATCACTTTTTATATCTTCATTTAGAACTTTGGGGTTTTTTTGACTACAAACCCCTCCTTAAATCACACTTTTCTCATTCAGCTGCACCAGACATTAATGAACAAATTCTGCCCTTTCTAACTAGGAGAAAACCTCCCTTCCTTTGAAATCTCCACGAACCAAAGCTGCTTCATTTCTTTATGAAGCACACCTGCTTTCCCTCGTGCTTCCCCACGTTGGGAGCAGCTCTGGGGGGGCACAGAGAGGGGACTGGGGTGCTCTGGGGGCTCCCTGTGCCGTACCTGGCCGTAGATGCGGTTGGGTTTCTTGCCGCGGCAGCTGAGCAGAGCCCATCTCTTGTACTTGACGTTGCACACGTGGACGTCGTTGCCGTTGCTCTCTCCAAAGGGGATCCCGGTGCCCCCAAACACCAGCAGGTTGTTGCCATGTAAAACAACTGGGGGAGAGGGAAAACAGGGGGACTCATTGCTGGGAGAACAGGGTTTATCCAGCCTGGGCTGGCCTTGGAGCAAGCTGCTCCAGAGAAGGCTGGCCATGCCCATGGGATGGGAATTGGATGGTCCTTAAGCTCCCTTCCAACCCAAACCATTCCCAAATAATTTTTCCAGGCTGGGCTGGGCTTGGAGCAACCTGCTCCAGAGAAGGCTGGCCATGCCCATGGGATGGGAATTGGATGATCTTTAAGCTCCCTTCCAACCCAAATAATTTTTCCAGGCTGGACTGGCCTTGAAGCAAGCTGTTCCAGAGAAGGTTGCCCATGGGATGGGAATTGGATGATCTTTAAGCTCCTATCCAATCCAACTCATTTGTCCAGGCTGGGCTGGGCTTGGAGCAAGCTGCTCCAGAGAAGGTTGCCCATGCCCATGGTATGGGAATTGAAAGATCCTTAAGCTCCTTTCCAACCCAAACCATTCCCAAATCATTTTCCCAGGCTGGGCTTGGAGCAAGCTGCTCTAGGGAAGGTGTTCCCATCCATGGTATGGGAATTGGATGATCTTTAAGCTCCCTTCCAACCCAAACCACTTCCAAATCATTTTTCTAGGCTGGGCTTGGAGCAAGCTGCTCTAGGGAAGGTTGCCCATGGCATGGAATTGGATGAACCCAAACCATTCCCAAATAATTTTTCCAGGCTGGGCTTGGAGCAAGCTGCTCTAGGGAAGGTGTCCCTATCCATGATATGGAACTGGATGATTTTTAAGCTCCCTTCCAACCCAAACCATTCCCAAATCATTTTTCCAGGCTGGGCTTTTGGAGCAACCTGTTCTAGGGAAGGTGTCCCTATCCATGGTATGGCATTGGATGCTCTTTAGGCTCCCTTTCAACTCAAATAATTTTTCCAGGAGTGGGCTTGGAGCAAGCTGCTCTAAGGAAGGTGTCCCTATCCATGGTATGGGAATTGGATGATCTTTAAGCTCCTTTCCAACCCAAACCATTCCCAAATAATTTTTCCAGGCTGGACTGGGCTTGGAGCAAGCTGCTCTAGGGAAGGTTGCCCATGCCCATGGTATGGAATTGGATGATCTTTAAGCTCCTATCCAACGCAAACCATTCCCAAATAATTTTTCCAGGCTGGACTGGGCTTGGAGCAAGCTGCTCCATGGGATTGGATGATCTTTAGGCTCCCTTCAAACCCAAACCATTCCAGGTTTCCCTGCAGTGCTCAGTACTGCTCAAATTCCCTACAACCCACCCCGTGCATTGATGGCTTTGAGAGGCTGTAAAGGAGAAAGGATCCCAACTAAAACCATGGTAACCAAAGGTCTGCTGTGAAAAGTGAACAAAGACAGCTATTTTTGGATGCTGGGAGATGTCTGCATGAGGCACCTTCCTGCTGAAAGCCCAGCAAGGTAAACACCTGGAAAACACCTCTTGCTTTCCCGTTTTTTTCTTTCCTTCTGCCTCAATTGAGCAAAAATGGAAAGAAAAATCCCAAACCCAACCCAACCTCAGAGCCCAGTTGGAAAAGTAGCATCCAGATTTCCAATTCCTGCCTGGATTAAAACAGGCAGGATGAAAATAGCTGCAGGAGCGGGCACAGGAGGAGTTGGATTTCCGTACGTACGTGACATGGAGGCCAGCTCCCTGGGCATGTAGCCCTCGGTGCCCATCTGGTGCCAGGTGTCTGTGGCAAAGTTGTACCTCCAGAGCTCCCTGAAGAGGGGGTAGTCCTCGTTCTCTGGGCCCCCAGACTCATCGTAGTCGGGGTTGTAGCCCCCGAAGACGTAGAGGTTGGAACTGTCGGCCACGCAGCGATGGCCGCTCCTGGCCGGGGGGCACCTGTGGCCTGCAGGAGGAGGAGGAGAAACAACAGCTCCACAAGGGCTCAGGGCGTGCCAGGCTCAGCAGGGCACCCACTGGGCTGGAATCCACTGGGGATCCACAGGGAAGGGTCTCTGCAGCAGGAGGCAATGGCTGTGGAAGGACAAGCTGGAAAGGGACACTGTGTGTGTCACCGGCTCAGCCTTGGACCACCACAATCCTTCCACTACAGCCCTTCTGAGGTGTTGGAGAAAATCCCTCTTCTTTCATTCTGTTTGGCAAAGTTCACTTAGAAACAATTCCAAACGTCTGTATTTAGAGCTGCCCAATAGAGAAAAAAATCAAGGATTTGCTTTCCCTCTGACAAAAACCTCTCCATGACTTCCCCCTTTGTTCCTTGGATCTCAACACTTTCTCTAAGTCACTCAATTTTCTGTCACTAAACAGAACACTTCAGTTCAGTTTAGTGACAGAAAATTTGGTGACTTTTGTCCCTAAACAGGTCTGACAGAACAGGAAATCTGCTCCTGAAGGAAGGCATTTGCACTGGAAGGAGCAGGGAACCCAGATGGGATCCTACAGGAGGATCCATCCCCAAAGGAATCATCTGCCTGCCCACCCCTAAAACTCAGTGGAAATAAAAGCAGGGAGGACAATTCCAGCTCAGCTCTCCACTGGAACAGATAAAAAGATGGATTCAGCCAAGGAAAAACCAACCAGGAATAGTCAGAGGTAACAGAAATCAAGGTCTTGGCTGACAATTGGCCAAAACAAACCCAAACAAATCAGCGACCTTCACCTCCCACCTGCTCCCACAGACTTTTTTACGGATTTTAGGATGGAAAAGGAGCCAGGAAAGCATCTAATGAGGACCCAGAATGTTTTCTTCTGTTATAATTCCCAGCAGTGAATCCAACACTGCAAAAAAAAAACCAAAAAAAACCAAACCAAAAACCCCCCCAAAAAACCTCCAAAAAACCAAAAAAAATCCAACCATGAAGCATTTTTCCTACAGGAAAAGTGAAAGAAATTATTTGTCCAGACCAAATAATGAACCTGTGCTGAGCACAGGCAGCTTTGCTTAATCATGTTCAACTCCGGGCCAAAATTAAGCTGCTCTCCAGGGTTCAGACAAGGCTCTGACAGATTTGGGGTGTTTCCAGGAATAATTGTGTCTCCCAGAAATTCCCACTTAGAAAACCAATAAGCACTGGCTGAAAAGAAGGGAAGAAAGTGAAGGAATTAAGGAGAAAATCTGTAGTGGGAATGTGGATGTGTGGGCACAGGAGAGGGGGATATTCCACATCCTGATTTAAAAGGTGTGAAGGAATTAGGAGTTCAGTTATTATATTAAATATAGATTTGATTTCCCTCCAGTTCTAACACTTGCCATGAGAATTTTCCAGAGGGAAAAGAGGAGAATAAGGCTGAGTTTTATATAAAGCCAATAAACTAAAGGTGAAAGGAGTAATTCCAAGAAAATAAATTAAAACACACCAGCCAGGAGGCCTTCACTGCCATCCACCTCCCAAAATCAAACAGGGAAGGCACCTGACATTGCCAGGAATCCCAATTTTCAACAGGAAGGGATCAATTTTCATCAGGAAGGGATCAGTTTTCATCAGGAAGGAATAAATTTTCATCAGGATCAGTTTTCATCAGGAAGGGATCAGTTTTCATCAGGAAGGGATCAATTTTCATCAGGAAGGGATCAATGTTCATCAGGAAGGGATCAATTTTCATCAGGATCAGTTTTCATCAGGAAGGGATCAATTTTCATCAGGGTCAGTTTTCATCAGGAAGGGATCAATGTTCATCAGGAAAGGATCAATTTTCCTCAGGAAGGGATCAGTTTTCATCAGGAAGGGATCAATGTTCATCAGGAAGGGATCAATTTTCATGAGGAAGGGATCAATTTTCATGAGGAAGGGATCAATGTTCATCAGGAAGGGATCAATGTTCATCAGGAAGGGATCAGTTTTCATCAGGAAGGGATCAATTTTCATCAGGGTCAGTTTTCATCAGGAAGGGATCAATGTTCATCAGGAAGGGATCAGTTTTCATCAGGAAGGGATCAATTTTCATCAGGGTCAGTTTTCATCAGGATCAGTTTCCATCAGGAAGGGATCCCACATCCCTGGAGGGGTCCAAGGCCAGTTTGGAGCACCCTGGCACAGAACTGACCCTGCTCAAGGGTTCATTCTGAGCTCCTTCAGCAGCCAAACTCCAATAACGAGCTGCATTTCCATGTAATTGGGGCTCTGGATGATTCACAGCTCCTCTGGAATTCAGGAGAGGTTTGCAGCTTGCTTTGCTGACCATTCCACAGGTGGAACTTTTAGATGGGGAAATCCCACGATTTGCTGAGTTTGGTCATGAGCAAAGCCCATCTTCCCAGAGCTGAACCCCAAAACACCCAAAGCTCGGGGAAGTGTTGTGTGAAAAGCTGGAATTCAGCAGGTCCTGCTGGGAATTCCTTGATGCTGGACATGGAAAGCAGCAGGAGCTACCAGGTCTGGGGGGAAAGAGGTTGTGAAGTTATGGAAAATGGCTTTAAAATGGAGGGATGGGTGGATGGATGGATGGATGGATGGATGGATGGATGAGGGATGGATGGATGGATGGATGGATGGATGGATGGATGGATGGATGA